AAAATGTATTCAAATCTTATTTCATTCAGAATCATGTTCGAAATTGTACCACCTTACCTAATATATACTCGATAGTTATTGTTATCATTGTCATAGTATCGTAGTTTTCAGAGCCAAAATATTCATAATAAAATATTAAAAAATGCATAATAATTAAAAAATTAGAAAACTGCAGGCTGCCGTAAGCAATTTCGTAAAATTGGCTTTTCCATTCTCCCTGAAATACAGTGTTCAATATGTTTGGCGGGTTTCATAATAACTTTGAAAAATTCGAGAAATTTTCATTTTTGTTTTTAATATCGCTAGGCTAGACCTCTTAATACATTCCGAGAAATTGTTAATTTAAATTAATTACAAAAATTTTTCGGAGAAGGTTCTCACATATCTTGCTGTGCAATCTAAAGAATATAAAGATATGAGATGTTTGTTGTAAGACGATAAGGGAGGCGTCAGCCACGTGGCTCCGCTATTATTAATCTTTAGTATGCCCACCCCTATCTCTCGTTCTCCACCCCTTCTCCTTCTCTCGCTCTCTCTCTCTCTCTCTCTCTCTCTCTCTCTCTCTCTCTCTCTCTCCCCCTCACTCTGTCATCACGCTTTTTATTATTCGCATAATCGGATCTGGAGCGGCGATAGCGCCGGTGATTTCGGGTTTGTCTAGGGTAACGCAGTTGTCGGCCGGCACAATGCCGTGCCTGAATGCCTCATTGTCTGCCGGGACCGACGCCCACTCAAAACTTCCACTCGCGCCCACTGCCGCCCGTCATTTTCCGCAATCAAACGATCGCGCCTCCTCTCTACGCCGTGCATAAAAGCGCGGCTGATATCGCCGAGCGCGGACGAGCGACGCAATTAAAACGTCCGTCCCACCCCCTTCGGAACGCGGGAATCCCCAAAGAGGATCCCTATGTTTCCCGGCTAATTTCGGTAAAATGGCGAAACAGATTTTACCGTCGCCTTATCTCCGTGGAAATTTTAGGTACTGAAGCTGAAAGATCATTTAAATCTGACTTGCGCGCAACCCCCTGGCTCGTGTTTTGGCGAAGATTACTGGATTGTGTCCCGGGTTAATTCCAGCTAAATGAAACAAGTTTCTCGCATGCCCCGGCGTGGAAGTACTCGCGGTAACGTTGACGTAAAACTCAATTGCGGGCTGTGCAATGACGACGCGGAAGTTGAAATTCTCTGAAATCAAGAAGACAATGTTATTCCTAAGATACTTCTATAGACACGTAGCGTTGTCAGAGTCAGAGTCGTCTTTCTCGCCGCACCCGCATCGGATGAACTATGTGGTTGGGATGTTCTCTCGATGCTCACTCTCGACGAGTGATTACATTTCACTCGAATTCCCGCTTTCGTCTCCTTACCGAGGGAACCGTCCGGAGCCGTGAAGCTCCGCGCAACGAGGACATTCTTCGATGACAATACCCGCCACAATCGAGCGCGGCGCACTTCCGCGCATACTAATGGAGTGGCGCGTAGACTTCCCTGGTCAGAGGATAGTCGTTGCTGCTCTTCTACTCCGTACGTTCCTCTTTCCATGTCTTTGTGCACCACCCGTAAAACTTACCAGCCCTCCGCCATCGTCGTTGTCATCTTCGAACAATCCGGGCGTTATTCGCGAAAGCGCGTTTAGATACTCGCGTTCCACCAATGATATTCCATCCTAAAGGTCTAGAATGGATTTTGAATAGGATTGGATAGATCCTAGACATTCAGAAAAAAAAGAACATTATAATTATAAAACTACACTAGTCAACAAGACTTTGATAACATTAATAAAATTTATATTTTGTGTTTTTTCGTCGATTTTTTTCATATCTGATGTTCAAAAAGTTGTAACACGTCATTTTTGTGTAGTTAAAAAGATTTGTTTTCTAAAAATCTAAAAATATAGCGAATTCTTCTTGTATAAAGACTACTAAAAATAAATAAATTCTATTATATGTATGATTGTTTCATTATGAAATCACAAAGTAGATTTGGAAAAAGTTTATAGCCTGCATTTTAAGTTGTCAAATTGGAATAAAAGTTGAGCTTCTCATATGTGTTGCATCTATAAGTTGTTATGTATCTCTTCTCACATGATTCAAAGGAAAGAAAACTTTAAATTCATAAAGTAAAAGTGATTAAAGAAAAATAAAACAGATATTTCTATTAAAAATGACGTTCTGATAAACATTTTAATAAAAAAGTTATAGTGCTACAGATTTTTTGTATTTAATGAGCAAAAATTAAGAACCACTTCATTTATTGGCTCATGTTATTATAGATCTCAAAGTTAAATTGCCTCTGGGTGGTTCTTATTTTAAATTGTGTTTTAAGGATTTATATACATATCTCGACTTTTAAACCGTGTATTCGTTCCTTGCGAAATCGATCGCAAACGTGGCGAAGAATTTTACTGATTGTCGTGGAACAGAGAGGGAACGTGCCGCCATTCCCGTCGTTATCTCACCGCGGAGAAAGCATGATTGCCTTTATGGGGGAAGAAAGGGTCCTTCGCGGTGACGATAATGTCCCCGTGGCAGAGAGACGGAGGCGTCGCTATCAGAAATAAAACACGACGAGCCGCCCTGTAGGCCCGGTAGGAAAGGAGAAGCGACGGGGGCACGAAGGAGGAAACTTCACATTGCCCTCGAGATTTTCCTCGTCGTCACCCCCTCCGATTAATTTCGCGGCTTTCCTTGGAAAAACCACGAGGGTGGTGCAAAGCTTGCGCTCGTATTCACTCACGCGATATTAGTCTCGCGATAAGCTGAAACTTCAGATGTAGACTTGTAGGCTGTCCTTGCTAATATTTGATTTTTGATAAGAACGCGAGTGTACAAAAAAAAAAGGACTGCGAATATCTATCTTAAATGTACACCGGTAAAAATTCTGCTAACAAAAGGAAAGGAAAGTGTCTTCTTGTTTGCGCTCTTAAATAATCATGTTTGAAAAATGCAAGAAGTTCAAGGGATGGGGGACAATATTCCTTAATTCGGATCGAGATTTATTTACAACCGCGTTGCATATATTATATTACAGAAGTAATTAACAATAGTATCGTAATCGTCGAGGCGGGAATTATCGTAGCGCATCCGCATTATTCTTGTTCCGAATTAATCGAGTTAATTGAAGCGTCGCTATGCGTACGCGAAATGCGTCGCGTGATTATTGAGAAAAAGAGAGAAAGAGAGAAGGAAAAAGAGAGAGAGAGAGAGAGAGAGAGAGAGAGAGAGAGAGAGAGAGAGAGAAAGAGAAAATGAGAGAAAGAGAGGATATGTTTTTCTATGCATTAGATATGTTTTATGTTTTACTTGCATCTTATTCCCATTAGGGTACACGCTAATGAACTCGCATTAGTGCTCGCTACGATCATTAGAAATACTTAGTGGGAATTTCTACAAGGAGGAGAAGTCGGCGGATTACTCTCGACGAGCGATAATGTTACAACTCGCCTTAACAAGTCAACAATAATTGTTACACATATAACAAAAACGAGATCGTATAAAAATATGTCTGGTGTTATGAATTAAGAGGCTTATCCGTTGGATAGTTCGGTGAAAAAATTTTGAGAAGAATTAGAATGGAAAACGTGACTTTCCACAATAAATAGAATCTACACATTTGAATTTTGTTGAATTTCAGATCAAGCCTTTTGGAACATTGGTTCAAAATCGAGAGATTCATGAACATTTTACAAAAAATAAATTTTTTTTTCATTTTATTTTCTATTTTTTTCAGATGTAAAATTATGTACATCGATAAATATATTTTTAATAGTCAAAATGTCTTAAGTTTCATTCAATTTATATCTCCTCATTGAACAATCAGGATAAGCCTCTTAATCCCAATAAATAAAAATGTCAAAATATTATAAACACGTGAAATATAACATTGTAACAACGCTTTGCGCAAAAGTTAGAGAAAAATTAAAAACATAATTTTGTTCGTTATTCAGATTACCAGACAACATTGACGAAATCAAGTGAGATGGAACGTAATATACCTCTAATAACTTTCGAAAATGTCTTTCTGGTTTCCCCATAATATTAGAAAAGGATTCGCGTCGCGATCAGTGTTCGCAAAGTCAGCCACGCGTCTTCCATTTCGCCGTATCGATGCTTTCGCCGCTTTCGTCGCGAAAACCGGTGCAGCGCAGCGCGACGCGACGCTGCGAGATACAACGAAACCGCGTCGTCGGGGTTCGTACGCGTCTCTACGTTAGCATTCAGAACGTTTCAGGCTTATTTCGCACGGCCGCGTCCCAAAGAAGAGATTTGCCTCCGCCAGAAGAGCTTTTTTTTTCCTCCCTTCTCCACCGTGTCCACCCCCGAACGCGCCCACCCGCCCGCCCTATAATATGTGGCATGTGAGAGGGTTGGTTATCTCATCAGAATTGGACTCCTCTAGTATCCAGCTTCGCGTGCACGATCCGGTCGAAAGGACCCTTTGCGTCCGCCCTTTGTGGGATTTCGGGGCCGTATAGCCGAGTTATCGATTTCTATTCGTCAGCTCCGACTGCGGTCGAGAAGATATTCCTTCAATACAGCCTACTCTTCGATTCCAATATTTTTTTGGCGCTTCACCCATACGTCGTTCTCCCGTTCATTATTTTGGATTATGTTACTCCGAAAGAGATCAAACTACAAAACGAGTCCTCGTTAAAAAGGAGAAAGCCCTTGTCATTCATTTATCTAAGAGTTACGTGATAGCACTGATTCACTTTCGATTGCGAGATACTAAAATATTCATCCACAGAATGCGCAACAATTATTGATTGGATCACTGCATGTTGGCGATATGCACGCCATTCCTTGGCGGCCTGGACACGGTCGTCGAGTTCCTCTGTTGCTCGTCTTGGAAGTGGACAGTGTCTTCCTTGACGATACCGGTGCTCAGATTCACGACCGTCGTTTGGGGGATCGGGGAGAGCATCGGAGCGACCCGCCACCAATCGGCAGTCGGCCATGCGGCCGGCATCAGGCTCCCCCGGAAGTTTAAATCCGGGAGAACCGGAAGCGGCCTTCATATGACGTGTCCACGCTGTGAGCTTGAATTCGAGCCATTGGAAGTCGACGTCAGACTCTGAACGGAGAAGGTGCTATCGACTCTGCTGCTTGATGATGAGGACGATGTTGTTGTGGTCGTCGTTGTCGTCGTCGACGATCTCTCTAACTGTTCCGTGGGCGGTGATGAGGATGAGGATGAAGAGAAGCGATCCTGAGAACGATCCTCCTGATGATGGTGATGATGATGGTGATGATGACTCTCCAAATTGGCGGAGAAGTCCAACTCGAGTTTTCGATACCGAGATTCTTCTCGTTCCGCGACGACGGCGTCATCATCAGCCCTTGCTGGACTCGGGAAAGGCGGATCATCCATCTTGGACGGCGGAAATGGCCTTTTAGGCTCCTTCGGTGGACTCGGGCAGCTGCAGTTAGGTTGTAAACATGTGGCTGCTGATAGGCCTGTCGGCCAGGATATCGCTTGATGGCTCGGATAAAAGGGACTGCCGGTGTAGAGGGCCTGTAAGGCCAAATCGGCGGCCAGCTTACCGCCGTTGAATTCGTCGCTCAGCTTGTGCTGTAAGGGATAAAGCGGGTAGGCAAACGGTGGAAAGAAGCGCGGGATCTTCAGGTCCTCGTGTGACATCAATGGATGATGCGTCGGAGGCGTCAACGGTGGCAGAAGACCGCGTGGTAGATTAGCCAGGCTGTCGCCAGGTGATATCAGCGGCGATATTGAGAAGCCGAACTTGTTCTCCTTCTTCACCAGAGATTTTGGTTTCCGGCGCGGCCGATACTTGTAGTCGGGATGCTCTTTCATGTGAAGAGCTCTGAAAGGTGGTTAGTAATTTGTAACATTGTACTGTTAGATTCGACTGCAATTTGTTTTGTATATTGGTGTTTGGTATGACTATGTAATTGTGGTGAGTATTGTATTAATGATATTAGTGATGATCTACCGCTAATTAATAGTAAATACAAAGTATTAAAACATTTTAGACACATACTACTCTGTGTATTTAAATATGTTGAATTAAGAAGATGCAAAAATTATATAGAAAATTTTGATTTGTGTAATCCACTTAAAAAATAAAATTTTGAATATTGAAAAATGTATTTTTAAAGATCTATATAAAAATTAATAGGAATTAATAGGAATTAATAAAATTAATATGATATTAAAGAAATCAGTACGCAAAAATTAAGCGCATGTTGTATTTTATATTTTGAAGTATGCAAGAACTCGAGTAAACATCTGCTCCGTTTTTTTAAATATAGAGATCTCAAATTTAGTTAAATTATTTTATTGCCTAACCATCTTATTAATTTGTTCATAACATGATGTTAACACTACGCAATAAATTTATTTTCTCCAAAATTTATTTCCATATTAAAAAATTATTTAAATCGCAACTTATTTTGCTACTGACATTTTTAAAAATTATAAAAATGATCATTGCAATTGAATATAAAATTAAGATTAAAACGTAATTCAAATTTAAGGAAGTTAAAGGTTGAAAATAATTAAATTTAAAGAATGATTGAAATGTATAAAAAGTACAATTGAAGAAAAACATTAAAAGTTTTAAAAATTTATTAGTGTATTTCTCATGCGAATATCATTGCTTGTAGATATTGACACATAAGTCTTAATTCTCCAAAAATTTTTTTATGAACGAGCCAATTACTATTTAATTAATTACTATTTAATAATGAGTGCGTCAGATATGCTGAATGAATATTTTGTTGACTCGAAAGATTAATTTATAATAGTAGAATAGCGCAGTCATTATTAGATATCTATATAAAAAACATTAATATAAAATGTTAAATACGTTTTTCTTGACATCACATTTTTTCGCACTATTAAAAGTAATAATTTCATAACCAAAGTTAAAACAATCTCTTTCAAATTTTATGTTTTTATGAAGAAAAGATTTTTCTGCGGAATAAATTGTAATAAAATTTATTATACAATAGTTTTTTTAAATTAAAGATTGAATACTAAAATTTTTGCTTTTTTAACTTGAAAGAAAGCTTTTAAAATGTAGTTGATCTTTCCCAATAATTATAGTCTGCTTTGTAAACAACTTAATAAAATAGTTAAAATATTATTTCAATCTTGTTTCAAAATCGCTATCATTTTCGTTAGTAAAAGAGATTCTTTTTGTTAACATTGTATAATTATAAGACAAATAATTAATTTAATTTTTCTGTAGAAATTATATATATTTTTAAAATATCAATATATGTGTAAAAAATTGAACTCAATAATAGTTAACAATAAAAAATTAATTAAGTTATAAAAAAATAAAAAATCGCCTTTGTATTTGTAAGACAGATTGTGATCTTTTTAATAAAGAAAAAAGAGTTATATCTTTCACACTTATTAATAATTGTCTTTTAACTTCTACCCAATTTTCTCATTCGACGCAGATTCATTGAAGCTTGTCGTTATCATAAATATGTAGCTGAATCCGATGTCGTTATATGTCATATGGTAAAGTAAAAACAAAGGAACAGCTGAAGAAGGGTTTCACGTGTATTACAAGGGAAGGAAATGATTTAATTGAATAGTTTTGCAACTGAGAACGCGTTAGTTAGCCTGCGATACAACATAATTCCATGATCATCTCATGATGGCAAGAGTCGTTAAGCAAAAGTCTTATTATAAATGATTTAATAAGCTTAAGTTTTTTTTTAATTTTTATAGGTTTTTACAATTTCTAATAATAATTCAATAATTTTTGCCAACAATTGTACATATATACAATAAGTGCAAAAATATTCGTACAGGAAAGATACCTTTTAAATAATTATACTTATTTTGGAAAGTAAACAATTAGCAATTTATTAACAAAGAATAAAATATTCTATATATTTCTCAAAATTATTTTATCTAAAAAGATGTAATATAATAAAATATATTATTTTAATAAAATAAATAAAAATAAAAAATTATATTATATGGACGTACAAAAGTATTCACACAGTTAAGAAATTTAATTTTGAAGATCACGAACATTATTTTTACAAAATCTTTCGCGTTTGTATTAGAATTTATTATTAATAAATTGTTAATTAATTTTATTTTCTATAAATAAGGCTTTTTAAACAATAATTTTCCAGGTACAAATATTTTTTCTCAGATTGTTAACTTTTTAAAATTTGTAACACTATCATCATAAAAACTAAAATTTTTTTTTCTCCAAGTAGGACAATAAGATTATGAATACATCAAGAAATGGAACTGTTAATCTTGAGACGCCCTGTATATTCGTGTCTTTCTTTTTTTTTATCGTGTTTACGTTATAGCACGACTATCGATTATCGCAAACGCTAACACCTCTCTACAATTTTTATAAACTGTGTTCTCGTCTTCCCACGTACAATGGGACGTATTATCATCGTTCCAGAACACGATACGGGGCACCATAGGTATTTGCAGTAAGTATCTTGTACACACACCCCCCTTTAGTGCTACGGTGAAGGGAAAAGAGGAACAGCGGCGGTATCTCCGACACATAATACTCCATTATGTACCTACGAGGCGCACAAACGCAGTGCTTATTTATGCCTCACCTCATGGAGATAAAAAAAAGAAAAGAGGAGAGGCGAGAGGGGAGGTTTGGAGATACGTGGGCTTTTTCGTAACGGCGGTCGCGTCGCGAAGAATTTCGCCGGAAACCACCAGGACAATGCAGTCGGAGGCATGAGGATGATAACAGTGGTGCATTTACTTCACGCCGTCATAACAATGTATTTAGCGAGAGCAAAGTCGTTTTATCATTGCTGCTGTTATTATTTTAAGTCGCGATAGTTGCGCAAACTGTCCGCACGTTTTTTTTCCATTCGCACGATTTTCTTTTTCAAATAAATGTGATCTCGAATTAATACACGTAATTTATATAATGCGAAATATATTCATATTCGAAGATTCGACTTCTCTTTCTTGAGAACGATTCGTAGTCTTTTTCACATTAAACTATCACAGGATATTTACTGAAATCTCTCTCTCTTGTAAAAAAATTATCTAATAATTCCTGGATTCTCCAGATATTTTTATTCAAAATTCTAGATAAGAGAATTAAAGAATTTTTAAACACAATGAAACGCTTTAAAATAAATTGGAATGTAATGCAAACGAATTTACTCTCTTCTATTGCTTTCATTCTAATTTGCGTGAATATTACTGATTGTTAACATTTTGTATTATCAAGAAAAAGAAACAACGTTTTCAGAAAGAAACAGAATTAAAAATTAAAAATTATAAAATTTCAATTTCTCTGAGTATCGACAAAATCCGAGATGATAAAAAAGAAATCCTCTGACAATTTCAGGATCTTTAAGTTTTTCCAAGTAAACACCCCCTCGTCTCAGCTATCGCAGCGATGAAAAAAGTCCTAATTAATAATTACAAACACAGAAATCTCTCGGTATGCGCCAATCGTTTTCTATGGAAACACAAAGTGGAGAATTACCGTTACCCAGAGTGTGACAGAGTGTGATGAAATTCGAAATTTCAAGGGGTAGCTGGAAAGCGAGGGGGAGGGGGGAGGGGTGCGTATGGGGTGCGGATGGCGGAACACCGCCGCGACCGCGGAATAATAATTCCGGGGACAATGTGTCCCGGCAGATAGCACAAAGCGTAAATCAGCATAAACATCGGTAAAGCCGCGCCGACAATAACTCAGCATAAATGCATAAACATCGGCCGTAATCTTTACAATTCCAACCTCTGCACGTTCCCCTCCTCCACCCGTTCCACCCACTCGCCATCAGCCTCTCCCCCGCGGATGCCTCTATCTGGCGGCCGATAAACAACGCGCTATATCATCCCGCGGTGACATAAGCTACGCGGCCCTCTCGCGTCGCGTCGCGACAAGGAACAATAACAATTAGTTACGATTGTGACCGGAAGCGTGGACGATCGCGTCGCCCGCGAGGACGGATCACGCTGTTAGGCCAGAATCGGACTACGCATTGAAGGTTGAGATTGAAGATAGTCTGATTCTGGCTTTAGGCTGGTTTCTACCAATCCAGATTAACTTTCATCTCGGTTCAATTTCTTTCATTTCTTCATTTTTTTCTAATTCTAAAACTTAATATATTAATATATTAATAAAATAATATAATATATATTAATAAAAGGAGAGATGAAAAGTAAGTTGAACTATGATTAAAGTTAATTTACATTGGGTATTAGATTTGTTTCCACCAACGTAGATTAACTTTAATCTCGACTTACCTTTATCTTTTTCTCTAGTTCCAAGAATTAGAAAAAGACGAAGAATAAATTAAACCTAGATTTCTATATAGTTTATATAGCCTACAGATTATTCTAGCAATATTGCAGCAACATTGCAATGTTCCAACAATATTGTAATCATGGTGGAATTAAAAAAATGAAGCATTGTTCGTGATAAGGTTGGGATGGGTGAATTTCGACTAATCAGATACTAGCTATTGCAATTACCTACGCTAACACAGGAAAACCGCATTGAAAAAAATTCTGGTTGAAAATAGACGACTCAGAATTTTCTAGTAAAATTTATTAGAATTCTAGTTGAGATAATCAGAATTCTGGTTAATACAATATTTCTGATAAAATCTACTATTATAGAATTCTTGTCTTTATATCAACCAGAATTTTAATTATCTCAATTAAATTCTCATTAAAATTCTAGTAGATTTAACCAGGAAATTCTAATTTGTTAATTTTCTACCAGAATTACAATTTAATCCAACCATAGACCATTTTTCTCAGTGCGTGATATAAAAATGATTGATAAATAAATATAACAGAATATATATAATAAAATAAATTAAT